GTATTTTTACCTTTTCTATAGCAAAAGAGTAAAATATGTCGAAATTGCTGCTTAATTCTTTCCGTATTCAAAGTGACGCGCTCCAAAAACTACTGCGTGTAATTGATCAGAACTTTTTACACACAAATCTTAAAATACGAGCTTTCAAATCATATAATAATTATACGGCTTAAGTGTAATGTTAGGTTTAAAGAAATGTAATTGAATTCCTTTGTGGTAAAAAAGCGAAGAGACTTTCCGAACAACCTTATAGATTCTATTAGTAGTCCTCCACTTTTTAGTAAGCACCTACTTGAACAGCGTGCATTTTAGTATGTATATTAAAATGTTTCGTCCACCTTTTGTGCTATCCTTAGTTGTTGAAACTAGAGGCTTTTCCAACCCATTTTATATTGACCTGCTTTTAAACTCTTTGGGACGCCAACATTGATTTTTTTAACTTTAACTTGGCTGAAAATACAAACGTCACCTGACGTAACTAAAACATCGTTTTATTTTTACGCAAACAAAAATTAGATGTACATTAAAGGTGATGCATTTGTAGCAAAAATGGTATACCTAGTATAAAGTTGTATTATACGAATTCAAGGAAAGATAAAAAATATTTAAAACAAATGACAATTTTTTTTTGACAATGTCTAATTGCTTTATTCTTTGGCCTAAGCCCTATATATTCTCTATTTTGTGTATTATTTTTGCATTCCAGCAATGTCTATCATTAAATGAAAATATGAAATGGAAACCTTATCCCTGGTAATTGTTATATAAATGTAATTTACAATATTTTTGATTGACAATTAATGCATACAACTGACATGCAGGAATCTTCCAAAGTAGACAATCCCCTAGAAATTTGCGCAGTTGATATATCCGTTATAGAGAATTTAACCCTCGATGATAAGATAGTTTCCGATGACGCAAAATTGCAGGATGTGACACAGGCTACTACGCCAGTATTAAATAAGACGGTTGACCTTTTGGAGAAGGTAAAATATAGAAAACCTAAAAGGAAATGTGCTAAATTAAAAAATGTGGAGGCGGACGCCGTAAATAAAAGTCAACAGCAAACTATCACGAAGGCTACTATAGAAACAGCATTAAGTCAACAGATTAGTACGATAAATCAACGTTTGGAAAAATGCAAATTGGAACCGATCACGATTGATCCTGGACCAAACGCTAAGACAATCTCAATCACACACGAAGAAACATCTAGCCCCAGAGTAATTAAATTGAATCAAACATTCAAATTTCCAAGTGATTACGATGTACCTTTTGAGGAAAAACATTCACCCACCAAAGAATCATTTACACAAACAAGTAAAACCTTCGTGACGAGACCTTTAGAGCAATTGAGTATTCCGCCTGTGATTCCAGAGAAGTTAGATGTTTCGGACAATTATTTGCTATCACCAGTCAGTGAGCAAAATTCACTTGATTTCTTTCCTGGCCAGCATAAGGCGGAAGAACACGTGTTTCCGTCGTATGTGCCGTTTTCTACACAAGTGAATAATGCTGCTGGTGAAAGTTTTCATTCGAAGAACTTGGATATTTATGGTAAAGCGTTATTTACTTGTCAAATTAATTGATTTCTAATGGTCTGATTGTTTTACTGGTTCAAAGTGACGGCCTTAAGGGGTTACACCACTGTAGAAGTAAAAAAAAAACGTATATTTCTGTTATTTTTTTCGGCCGGAAGGAAAAGTATTAAAATCATGATATTAAAGATAGTTATTTATTGAACTTTAAAGTAACAAAATAAAATATAATTGTAAAAAAAAAAATAAAAATGGCGGTACCACAGCCATTTCGGCGAGTCGCGTCAAATCCGCGGCACGAAAAATAACTACAACAATTTGAACTTTTTTTATTCGAATTTTTAATAAAATATTTAAAATAACATTTCAAAGTGCCCATCATAGCGGATTTGAAAAATATCGATTTTTGTTTGTTTGGCGAGCACTTTATTCAATCGTCGAATTTCAACGAAAAAAATGGCTAGTAATTTGTTAATAATTGATGAACAAATTAACATATAGAAGATCTTCTATGATGGGCACTTAAAAATGTAATTTTAAATATACTGTAAAATGTGAAAAGTGAAAAAAGTGAAAAAGTATAAATGTGAAAAGAGTGAAAAAAAATCAAATTGTTGTAGTTATTTTGCGTGCCGCGGATTTTGACGCGGCTCGCCGAAATGGATGTGGTACCGCCATTTTTAATTTTTTTTTTTACAATTATATTTTATTTTCTTACTTCAAAGTACAATAAATAACTATCTCTAATGTCATGATTTTAATACTTTTCCTTGCGTCCGAAAAAAAATGGCAAAAACATACGTTTTTTTTACTGCTACAGTGGTGTAACCCCTTAAGAATTCGAACAAAAAATACTACAAAAGATGATGTATCATAATTAATACATCATCATTTTTAAAGCAATATTTCAGTGAAATCTTTTCGAGAATAATCACTTTTCAATCACAATTTGAGAAAATATATAATATATAAACAATTCCCGAGTAATTTTAATTTTTGTGGTAAAAAATACAATACAATTTAATTATGATTTCAATTAAATTCAGTTTTTGATACATAATAATTTTATTTCTGTACTGAGATTTGTCTAAAACTAAAGAGCATCGTATAAAGAATGAAAAATGGTAAAACATTTTAGGCAAAAAAAATTGGCTGCATAAAAACATGGTCACTTCTAAATATGTCAAATCTTGCCAAATTTATGAATTTGCGAAAGCAATTTTGAGCAAATTATATAATGGAAATAGTTATAGAAACATACAATTGCTTTCATTTAGGTTCTGAAGAAAACTATCAAATAACTTATGCCAGAAATCTTATTCCGTTTCCATATTTTATTTAGTTTGTCCGTCTTATTTACACAATCGTTCTTGGCCTCAAGCTTTGATTACGGGACCTGCTGAAAATCATAAAAGTAATAGTCTATCATACTCTTCCAATGTTGAAATGGCATACATCGCTAATTCCCAAACTGGTGGTTCGATTTCTCGTCCTGATAACTTAAAACGGAGCTTTTCCCAAAGACCTCTGGAGACTCCAATGAACTTACAAGCACAGTTCAGAGCAAACGGCTTGAGCGATACTAAAGCAAACTATGGAAACC